GAGGAGGGGGGTGTGGGGAGGAAGGGGAGTGTGGGGAGGAAGGGGAGTGGGGAGGAAGGGGGTGTGGGGAGGAAGGGGGGTGTGGGGAGGAATGGGGGTGTGGGGAGGAAGGGGGTGTGGGGGAGGAAGGGGGTGTGTGGGGAGGAGGGGTGGTGAGGAGGGGGTGTGGGGAAGAGGGGGTGTGGGGAGGGAGGGTGTGGAGGGAGGAAGGGGAGTGTGGGGAGGAAGGGGAGGTGGGGGAGGGAAGGGGAGTGTGGGGGAGGAGGGGTGGGGTAGGAAGGGGTGTGTGGGGGAGGAAGGAGGTGGGGAGGAAGGGGGGTGTGGGGAGGGGAGGAGGGGGTGGGGAGGAGGGGGTGTGGGGAGGAGGGGGTGTGGGAGGGAGGGGGGTGTGGGGAGGAGGGGGGGGTGGGAGGAGGGGGGTGTGGGAGGAGGGGGGTGGGGTGGGGAGGAGGGGGTGGGGAGGAGGGGATGGGGAGGAGGGGGTGTGGGGAGAAGGGATGGTGTGGGAGGAAGAGTGTGGGGAGGGGGGGGTGTGGGGAGGAGGGGGTGGGGAGGGGGAGTGTGGGGGGAGGGGGGGTGGGGAGGAGGGGGGAGGTGGGGTGAAGGAGTGGTGGGGAGGAAGGGGAGTGGGGAGGAAGGGGTGTGGGGAGGAAGGGAGTGTGAGGAGGAGGGGTGTGGGGAGGAAGGTGAGAGGAGGAGAGGGTGAGGGAGGGAGGGTGGGGGGTGTGGTGAGGAGGGGGGTGTGGGGAGGAGGGGGGTGGGGAGGAGGAGGGGTGTGGGGGAGGGGGGTGTGGGGGAGGGGTGGGGGAGGGGGTGGGGGGGGGGGGGCAGGGAAGGGGAGTGGGGAGGAGGGGTGTGAGGGGAGTGTGGGGAGGGAGGGTGTGGGGAGGAGGGTGGAGTGGGTGGGGAGGAGGGGGGGAGTGTGGGGAGGAGGGAGGGTGTGGGGAGGAGGGAAGGAACTGACTGGCCGTGGGGAGTAACCTGGCGTGGGGAGGAAGAAAGGGAGGAGGGAGACTATCAGTACACATAATCTGTCAACTGTTGGAAGAGTTTTAATGTGTCATCAACTTCAAGATTCTGATAAGTTGTTAAGATAGATGAGCGACACACACACACACACACACACACCAGGAACACTCAATCAAACACCAGTGGACAAACACAGACACAGACAAAGGTATACAAATTCAACCGATACAGGTGTTTTCCTTAGCGATCACAAAACACAGAGGCATACACAGCCAGTCAGAACCACACACTAGAAAATACACAAGCACTGTGAGGTAGCCAGACACATGATGAATCTTGTGGCAGCCCTAATTGTAGTCGTGTTGCCAATTCATTAATATAATTTTCTTCATTATTTTACCAAATATACGAACATTTGAAAACTTCTCCTGATCTTTAATAACAATGAATAGTTTCTTATTATAAAAATTCTTAATTTGGTTCGTTTAATATTTATCCTGATTGTGATACAAGCGAAAATAAATCCACCAATCACAACCACCTTTACATACAGCCTTCCTTTACCAAGTATTGCCAGGTAAAATTGCCACTACGAGACCCAGGTTGCGTTCGCTGGATCTTTGACTGACTGTACATAGACACACGACGTACGTACTGATAGCGTAGACACACACACAAAGGACATAGACACATCACGTACATAGAAACACAACGTACAGACAGATAAATACATTAACACACATTGCCTGGGAGAAACATAATCACTAACACAGACATTAACAGAGAGCCAGGAAAACCATACAATTACACCGGTACAAACAAAACACAGACAGAGATATCTAAATAAGACAGACAGGCAGCTATGACAGAAACAGACGGCCAGACAGTTTTAACAGACAGCCAGACAGTTAGACAGTTTTAACAGACCGACAAAGACAGTAAAAAAAAAAGACACACAATCATCCCAGTTACGAGACACAAACAGCCAACCACAGACACAGACAGACATTGACAGACACAGACAGACATTGACACAGACCCATAAACTACACCAAAATGACCTGCTTAACCCACTTTCCTAAGACTTGATTAGCTCTTAAGTCATTATCTAAGACCTCCTCGATAATTAAGACTTTATCCTGAACCGTAAGTCATTCCTGAGCATTATTAACCCGGCTTAAGATTAGTCGTAAATCCTGCCCGAGTATTATTGACATACCTTGAGTCTTAATTCTTGCTCTGGGTCATTCATGAGCATTATTACCATAAATTTGAGCATTAAGTCTTATAGTATGTCATTTCTAAGCATAAAACTACCATATTTTGAGTCTTGAGTTCTATTATTATAAGTACTGTATGCTTCTGAGTCTTAGTCCTCATGAAGACTTATAGATGTTATCGTAAGTTCTCCCGTAACTATTATCGCTAATTATGAATGCCGTCATAATGCTAGTATACGCTACCTGTACACAACGGTAAGCTAATGTAGGTTCCCACAACGGGAAGCTACTGTATGTTCCCACAACGGTAAGCTACTGTATGTTCCCACAACAGTAAGCCCCTGTATGTTCCCCTAACAGTAAGCCCTTGTATATTGCCACAACGGTAAGACACTGCACACATCAGCAGCAGGAACCTAACGACGGTGGACTACTGAACAGTAAGTAACGGGATGTGTACACTGACAGCTGCCTCTGAACAACACTGAGTCCGTGTATTGTATTACCCGATGACGTCACCCCACGGAACCGAATACCACTGAACATTCATACCACAACAAAGATTGAACACACACACACACACACACACCGACTATTCAAAAATATACAAATAAAATACAGCACCAGAAGCAATATATTTCACCCAAAATTACAAAAAAAAAAAATTGAGGATGTTGTCATACACGAATGTTTTCACAAAATTATATCCCTCACGACAAAATGACAACGTGTGAATGTTTATATATGTGTTTATGAGGTGATCTGGTCTAGAGAAAAATATACACTTCTTAAGATAATAACAACGCACGTATTATATAACGCCTGGAGCTGAGGTGTGACCGAGGCCACAGGATGAAGCTTTTGTTATGACACATCGAGATCTTATAAGGATGCACCGCGTGTTAAAGTTTCCTCTCTAATTCAAAAGTTCTATATGTTAAAAAGTTCCATTACATGTTAAAAAGTTTTGTTAAAAAAGTTTCCTGTCATTAAAAAGTTTTATGATACGTAAAAAAAATATGACGTTATAAAGTTTATGACATTTTAAGATATTTTTGATGTTAAAAAAATTATGACATGTTAAAAAGTTTATGACGGTAAAAAGTTTGACGCTAAAAATTTATGACGTTAAAATTTGTATGATATGTTAAAAAGTTTGACATGTTAAACAGTTTATGACGTTAAAAGGTTTATGACGTTAAAAATTTATGACGTTAAAAATTGTATGACATGTTATAATGTTTATGACATGTTAAAAAGTTTATGACATGTTAAAAATTTATGACGTTAAAATTTGTATATGTTAAACAGTTATGACGTTAAAAATTGTATGACATGTTACAATGTTTATGACATGTTAAATGACATGTTACAATGTTTATGACATGTTAAAAAGTATATGACATGTTAAAAAGTTGATGACGTTAAAAAGTTTATGACATGTTAAAATGACGTTAAAAATTCATGACATTTTATGACATGTTAAAAAGTTTGACATGTTAAAAAGTTTATGACATGCTAAAAAGTTTATGACATGTTAAAAAGTTTGACATGTTAAAAAGTTTATATGTTAAAAAGTTTATGACATGTTAAAAAGTTTATGACGTTAAAAAGTTTATGACATGTTTTAAAGCTTATGACGTTAAAAATTCATGACGTTAAAAATTTTATGACATGTTATGATGCTTATGACCAAAAAAATTATAACATGTTATATAAGTTATGTAACTGAATAAACAAGAATTATAAGAAATTAATAAAAAGATCCATATTTAAAAGATTTAGTATATTAAAAAGATTTAAGAAATATCGAAAAGCTTTATGATACATTAAGAAGCTTTACGACATATTAGAAAGCTTTCAGACCCATTGAAAAATTCTGAATCGTTAAAAATTTTCATAAGATAGAAAGTAGTTCTATGTTATTAACTATATGACATATTGGAATACTTAGTGGCATAATAAAAAGTTTTAAAACATAGAAGCTTAATGCCATACTGAAAAAAAGTTTCATGACATTGAAAAAGTTATGTCTTTAGAAAGCTTTTAGACATAAACAATATTTAAGATAGGAAGCTTTATGGCATATGACAAAAAAATTATAATGAAGAAAAAGATTAATGTAATTAAAAAGTTTGATCACGTTTTGTGACATTAAACATCTTGACGACAAATTGAAAACCTTGATTTTACATAAAAAAATATCACATCAAAAAGCTTAATGACAAGAAAGCATAATATATCAAGAGCTCTTTTAACATAGTAGAAAGCTTAATGGTATGCCAAAAAAAAAAAAAAAAATCTACAGTAAATGGTAAAAATGTGACACTAAAACCTTCATGACAAAGTCTTATGTCAGTAAGAATCTTCAAGACGGTGTTAAGCTTCATAATGTAGAACGAGGGTCGTCCATTAGTGTGTACACCAACAAAAGTTTTAATTATGGGTTCAGCCTACAAACCCACACGGAGGTCGTCACCACACACACACACACACAAAGTTTGTGGCATCATCTGTCCAGCACTACACAGTATATAAACCTGAATATGACGACCACACACTTACATTCCACTGAATACATCAATATAGTAATAACTGTTTGCTGGTGTGGTGACGCTGAACAAGTGTCTTTCTACGTTAACAATTGCGATTTATCACACTTCTTTCCTGAGGTCACCAGATCAGATGAAAATGACCACAATCATTAGTTCCCTCTGACCTCTGTTTACACACGGAACGACCTGACGTCTGACGTCACACATGTCCTTCACGGCCACCTGCCACATAACATTATACCCGAGTATTAATTACCTTGCTGTGTTGTCTTCGTGGAGAGAAAAAAAAAACGGACGTCTTCATCTACAGAACAATTACGGACATCACTGTCTTCACGGACAAATTATCTCGTTATGGTATCCACACGGAGAAAATGTCGTACACCACTTTATTGACGGACGTCCCCACAGACTCAGACAAGTACTGTACAGTAGTTTCTCCTGAACCGCCTCACTTAGAATTACTGTACATGTCCCTTCTGGCGACGTTTTACCGTGAAAAGTGCGTCCCAACACCCCTATCACTGCCTGATAAGTGACCTCGGTGTACTAGGTCAAACACTGAGGCAATAGAACCTGACCTAAGATGATATTAGATGACCTGGGAAGGCCTGGAATGGGGCACACAATGACGACCAATCTCCTTGATGGGTAGTGGAGGGTCGCGTCGCCCCCTGATAATGGTCGAGGTAATACGCCCCTCGTTGCGGCCAGGACCGACGTCGACGCCCTTCGTGGTGCAGCAGCAGGACCCTAGTACCTCGAACAGGGTTGTTCCTGCCCTCCTGCACCACCGTCACGCAACACTAGATGTTACTCCTTACAGCGCGGGAGACAAACTGAGTGGGAGTGACACAAGATGCGGCGGTATAGAGCAGCAGCAGCGGTAGTGACGGCAGTATGCGGTCGAGTGGGCGTGGTGGTAGCCGGGGGGGTAGGGGGAGGATGATGGTGGTGACGGCGAGGCGGCTTCACCAACACTGCTGCCCCTCGCGCTTCTTCCCAACAACCATCATTCCACCACCACGCCCACCGAGCACGCGCACACGCGCCGTTCCACCGCCCACTACTCCTCCACGCGCGCTATCACGTGTACTGCTGCAACGCTCCCAGGCTACTGAACGTTGGATGATTCATGTTATCATCATCTCCTGGGGCTACAGTAGTGCCTAATCATTCAAATTTATTATCATTACAAAAGCACGTGATTACCTCTCACTACACTCCATATTATGTGTACTGGTGACACAGTCATGCTCAAGTTACGCTACATCGCAACACCCCGGGACATACTGTAACTGTGAACATCCCGGGGCATGACCGTGTTCATCCCTGGGCATGACTGTGAGCATCCTTGGGTATAACTGTGAGCATCCTGGGGTATAACTGTGCACATCCTGGGGCATGACTGTGTTCATCCCGGGGCATGACCGTGTTCATCCCGGGGCATGACTGTGAACACCGCACGTACTGACCGCTACAAGAACTACCCCATCCCAACTGTAAAAAATATTAACAACTCGTAGACAACTTGTGTGTTCACTTCTTGCCAATCTCACTTTTGTGCTGTAACTGTGCTGAAATTCCTTGTTAAGTGACCCTCTCCATGTACCACTTATGCTATTTGTATATTTTCAGCTTATTATTTATAACAGTAGTAGTAGCACACTACTACTACTACTACTTTGCTGTCACTCGGAATCGAGTATGACGATCATCCAGCTATGATATGATGATAAGAGTTATTAAGGATGTCACCTAGGTTGGTGAGTTCTGAGGTGACTAAAGAGGTCGATACGGGGCCGGCAGGGTTGATCACAGATGTTGCATATGTGGGGGGCTACATCTAGTGCGGGAGGGGCGGCGGCAGCGTCTTTCCGGCGTTGCCGGTTGCCTGCCTCGTTATGCAGTCGGGCTAACACTAAAGTATTGGCACCTTCTTGTATGGTGCTCATCCAAGCAATAAGGTGTGGAGTAATCGTCTCCCAGGTGAGGGGGTCGATTTGGCACTTTTTCAGGTTTGTCTGAAGATTCTCCTTATACCCTTTCAGTTGCCCGCTGGCGTTACGTTTACTATTCGTTAGGTGACTGTAAAGTAGCTGCTTTGGCAGTCTACTGTCATCCATATGGGTAACATGGCCAGTCCAGCGTAGTTGTTCATGGATAATGGTAGCCTCGATGCTCCTACAGTTGATGTCAGCAAAAATACTGGCATTTGTTCTCTTGTCTTCCCAGCGAATTCGGAGGATGGAACGTAGCACACACACACACACACACACACACACACACACACACACACACACACACACACACACATAGTCAAGCCTCAGGAACAATACGCTCACTACCTACCTCCGTCACAATGGTTTCACATGGCTGTGCATGACTTTTTTTACACAATACAATGAACTTCTCGAAGCTTAGTGTAGTGTAAGACATGGTGAGCGGTGACGTATATGTTAACTAGTGTTGAGGGTGACCCTCTCCTGCTGTCCACAGTGATGTGTGTAACGAGCTGCTGACAACGACGCCAACCACGACCACAACTACGACCATGACCACGACCAACGACATCCACAACCATTACCACGACCACAACGACATCCACGACCACAACGACATCCACGACCACAACTACTACCAACGACATCTACGACCCTGACCACGACCAACGACATCCACGACCCTGACCACGACCACGACCAACGACATCCACGGCCACAACCAATGACATCCACGAACACAACTACGACCCACGACATCCACGATCGTGACCACGACCAACGACATCCACGACCACAACAAACGACATCCACGATCACAACAACAACCACGACCACAACAACAACCACGTCCACAACCAACGACATCAACAACAGCCAACGACATCCACAACTACGACCAACGACATCCACGACCACAACTACGACCGACGACAATCACGACCAGGACCACAACGACATCCACGACCCTGACCACGACCACGACCAACGACATCCACGACCACAACCAACGACATCCACGATCACAACTACGACCCACGACATCCACGATCATGACCACAACCAACGACATCCACGACCACAACCAACGACATCCACAACCACAACGAGAACCACGACCACAACCAACGACACCCACGACCAACGACATCCACAACCACAACGAGAACCACGATCGCAACCAACGACATCCACGACCACAACGAGAACCACGACCGCAACCAACGACATCCACGACCACAACGAGAACCGCAACCAACTACATCCACAATCACAACGAGGACCACAACCGACGACATCCACAACCAACGACATCCACGACCACAACGAGAACCACGACCACAACCAACGACATCCACGACCAACGACATCCACGACCACAACGACATCCACGACCACAACGAGAACCGCAACCAACTACATCCACGATCACAACGAGGACCACGACCACAACCGACGACATCCACGACCAACGACATCCACGACCACAACGAGAACCACGACCGCAACCAACGACATCCACGACCACAACCAAAGACAACCACATCCGCAACCCCGACGCCCTAGGGATGGCATAGCTCTTCTTTATTTCCTGCAGGTGAGATCAATATTACCATTAGTCTTCCTTACAACTAATATTTACCGTCATTCTACCCAACATCGTGGTCAAATTCCGGCCATTCTTTCTCAAGCCGTCACACTCCCAGCTGTTAATATCTCCCCTCCCTCGCGCCTTATCTCATCAAAACATCTCGATTTATTTTAACATCATATATATTCGTTCTAATGCTTAATATCTTTGTCATCTAACCTGTAATAATGTCTGCTCTAACACCCAACATACCTCTACTACATCACCTCCTACACTACTGCCCTGTCACATCATTTTCCGCCTTATATCACAACTGAGAGGTCACAAGTCATCGGTGTCTCCAACAACAAGTTTCTCCCATAGTTTAACATCACCACAAACCTCAGTTCACTTTTCTCATCGGCTCGTGTGTCATTTTTCCTCACTGTTGAGAAAAAGAAGGAATCTACACACTGCAGAAGCTCAGTTCAATTTCGAAGTCAATTTGGTAACCATTTTTATGACGGAGTTAAAAAGTGAGTCAGTCAGATATATATTATTACATCTTCGGTCATGGTAAAAATTCAGGGCACAAGTCCTTCATAATTCGGGTCCGGGATAAAGTAATAATGCTCGAGGAGGACTTATGACAGGACTCACGTCTCCAGTTAGAGGAAAATATCTAACGCAGGAATCTTTGAAAATCCGGGCGCGGGGGGCAGTCCTCGCTTACGTGAATCAGACAGCTGCGTTCTCACATCTTCAGTTAAGAGCGAAAAATTGAACATACGAACCTTTGAGAATCTTGAGTACGTCGCTCCACTCACGGCCTCAAGGAAGACGCTCTTTCGGCTCTTTTGGAATAAGTGAATAGCCTCGACCACCCAAGAAAATTTGCATACGCTTGAAAATTATAAAATGTAGCCTCCAACCTACATTTGTGGGGAAGGACGGCGAGGCGCTGGCTAGAATATTTCCACACCAGGAAGCAGGAGGCTAATGGAGACCTAGGGTGGGGGAGAGAAGGAAATGGGAGAGGGGGTGAAGAAGATCTTGGGGTGTAGGAGACGGGGGTCGGCGAGGACACTGTGACCTTGAGCATCAGTGTAGGAGACTGAGGCCCTCTCCCGTGTCTCTCTTTGTCTGTTGTGGAAGGATGTTGAGGAAGACTTGAACTTAAAACACGGAGCATCTTGTAAGAGCGTGTCACAAAGACTCACCCGACAGTCTTCCATTAATCAGCTTTGTACTGACACCCTCAGTAAAACAACCAACTTGCTCCTAAATATTCATGGAAAACCTTCATACACTTCTACCAGTTATCCATTAGTATTAGAGAGAACAAATATTTTTAAAAATTCCACATAATGGTTGCAAATTTAACAAAAGTTCTATGTCAGGAATTTAGACTCGAAACACTTCAGTCCACAACTTTGCCTAAGTGAGCCGCCAACACTCTCGCAGAGAGTAATACAGACGTCAACCTAAACACTATTACAGCGCCAACGTAAACGTAGACACTAACGTAGACGACAACGTAGACAATAACGCAGACGCCAAAGCAGACACTAACACTGACGCAGATGCCAAAGCAGGCATTGTTGCAAACGCCAACGTAGACGCAGATGTCATTGTAAGCGCAGACACTAATGTAGCCGCCAACGCAGACACTAATGTAGCCGCCAACGCAGACACTAATGTAGCCGCCAACGCAGACACTAATGTAGCCGCCAACGCAGACACAAACACCAAAGCAAACGTCGAGGTTACAACTTAAGCGCCTCTGTTCTTGGAATTAGTGACCTACAAAAAAACAAACACACAAAAGTAAGTAGGATTAAGAGATTCCCCGTAAGAAGCTAAAACTTACACTACGGTGACTTAAGTAAATGTGTGTCTGGTCTTTACTGTTTTGTCAATAGGATCTTCTGGGATGGAAATGAGACTGAGAAGGAACGACCACTTGAATACAAACTGTTTCTTTTATACTTACAGTGTTAGAAAGGTTATACTTGTGCTCTCAACACCGACACAAGTTTCCATAGAGAATGTAACAAGCATTACCCTCGTATATCCGTTTGCCAGTGCCACCACGTATCATACTTCAAAGCTTAGTTACTTGCTGCTTCAGTTATCTCAGTGAAGACCAATCTTGGCTCACTCCCTCACTGACAGAACATCCTGTGTAGTTGTGACGTACAGCACTGTGGGTGAGTTTGCTGGAATTATACTTCCACTATAAATCGTTATCTGGTACACAACAGCAGGACTGGTGGGACTATGAGCGGGATAAATTTTGAAAGAAGTAAATCAAATGTGTTTCAGTAAACCCCATTCCAGAACAAGACAATTTTAAACGGCCACTATTCCAGAGACCAATTCAACCACAAACCTAATGACCTCCATCCACACAGAACAAAAGATGTAATAAACTATGACGATTGTGTTAGTGTCCTTATGCCGGTATTACTACATACCGAAATATAATGTGATAATATACCGAAATATCCATGAATGCAAACATCGCTCCTGGTGAGGGTAATGTTGAATGACATGTAATGATTTTGGTTATGTGATGATGGCAGCAGAGGAACCACATGGTCTCCCTCTCAGTCATTTAGCTCAAGTTCAGAAGAGGATCCTACTATTAAACACACTTGATCACGGAGTGTCATAAGTGTCATGTTCACAGTCGTCCTGCTTAACCTGACATTACTTAAAGGGGACACCGCCACTGCTTGCTGGGTCCTGCGTGAGACGGAAGGTCATGTGAGGTTAACATGGAATGGTCACAGGTGAGGTTGGTCACAAGTCTGCCTGGGAAAGAGACTGTTGTCATTCTTGGTCACTGTGTGCGGCATATCATGTGAGGTCAACAAAGAACTGTGATAATGTGGACACTTTGGGTTATATGATGGAAGAAAAGTCATGTTAGGTTAAATGAAAAAGCGATGGTGTTAACACAGTTCCAGTGGTGGAGTCGCTAGTGTGAGGTCACTGAGGCTGTCGGATCCATACCACCCTGTGGACCCTGACTGCTAGACATCCTCTCCATCAATCGCATCATCTGAGAGAGACAGCCCCACCCCGACCCTCAGTTCTTGATGGTACATTCAGGTACATTCAACTGAACACCTTTATGGTAAATCAGTTTCCTGTGTCCAGTTCCTTCAAGCAAGTCTCGGTGATCCTCATCCACTGTCAACTAACCGGTCGGTGGTACTGTACTGTACATATGGTGGCACAAGTTGCTCACCTCGTATTGGCTGGATGCTGTATGGTGTTGACACAACTACTCACAGACATGGGATCTCAGATGATAGTTGGTGGTTAGTGGCGAGGATGGTGTAGTAATTTTGTCCCAAACTGACAGAATGAGGTCACGGTGATGATCAGAGAGAGAGTTGGGAGGGCCAGATACCGAGCGCCTCTTGACAAGTGGAGTACAGGGGAGGAGGAGGGGTAATAGTCTCGCAGGCACTATTCCACACCCTCTCTAGGAGTCCTTGTTGTGTAGCAGTTAAATTAACAATACAATGTGATAGAGTAATAGTCACTACTTCGGTATGGCAGTGAACATTAGGCTTGAGGAGATCTGGAGTGGAACCCATTTAAACTGAGACATTGGAAATTGGAGCCATCTAATATGAGTCACAGTTTACTCAGCCAGCACCGGCCAGTCCGTATTGAAACAGCTTACGGTCCTATTATAGGTCAGCCTAAGATATGTTACTGCAGGTGGCTGGTGACAAGTGACAGAAAGCAGACTCTAGATAATGGCCGTCTCTTGTACAACTTCCTGGCCCCACTGTGCTGAGATATTGTGGAGAATTCTAACCAGATGGTCCTCGTGGTATTGACCAGACAGCCTCCAACACCAATACCACCACCACAAGGCCTCCAACACCGGTCGTCACCACCACCAACACACACAGCCTCCACCACTGGTCGTCATCACCACCAACACACTTACCACTGGTCATCACCATCAACACACACTCACCACTGGTCATCACCATCAACACACACTCACCATTGGTCGTCATCACCATCAACACACACACACCACTGGTCATCACCAACAAACACTCACCACTGGTCATCATCACCAACACACACTCACCACTGGTCATCACCATCAACACACTCACCACTGGTCACAACACACTCATCATCAACACACACTCACCATTGGTCATCATCATCAACACACACTCACCATTGGTCATCACCACCAACACACACTCACCATTGGTCATCATCATCAACACACACTCACCATTGGTCATCACCATCAACACACACTCACCACTGGTCATCATCAACACACACTCACCATTGGTCATCATCATCAACACACACTCACCACTGGTCATCATCATCAACACACACTCACCACTGGTCATCACCAACACTCACCACTGGTCGTCGCCGTCATCACTGTCTTATATAAGGCTCATGTTACCTGTGCTCAACCTCCCAGAGTCAGCCACTACCCAGCCTCACCTCTAACACCTGGTATCTCACCTTCCTTACCTCTAACACCTGGTATGTGTCTATATTACGCTATATTTCACTATACTCCGAGATATATTGCGAAGTACCTGAAGATCACCCTCCCCTAGTTTATTTTACCTTCACATTAACGACCTTAACACTAACTGGGGGTTAGGTTAGGTTAGGGTGGTTAATCTTAAGGAAAAATAATCTCGGGCTAATCTTCAGGTTGTCTTATGTTTCTATATTCCGCTATACCTTGCTATACCACAAGCAATATGCCTATACGATGCTCTACATTGCTATACCATATAATACATTTCTACACAATGATAAATCTCTCTACAGTGTCCGTGAACATATATATCCACACTACAGTAAGGTACTCCCACGTACAGGAAAAGATGTCTTTTTCAAACTATGGTAAACTTTGCTTCAGATACACTACCTACTTATACTATGCTATACTTTGTTATTTAATGCATTGTTATATGGGTATGCTATTTTTTTTATAACATCTTCGTTCACTATAAACAAGCACACTGTGTGAAATGGCACAACACTTTATCTCTAATGGCAAGACAGCCGACGTATTAAGATTGTATCCACTTTTTTTGCACTCAGTAGCTGTATCAGTTACCATGTATAGAACCAAACACACAATGTGCTTGAATACCTCTCACACAAAGGTGAATAACAAAGTGTGTGGCCAGACATACTGCCTCACACGCCTGTACTCACGCAGCTGTGAATAAGTCACCCTTTATGTACAGAACTAAACAAACATTGTATATTAAATACTGTGTAGCAGTCAATGACATAATATCCTGACCACGGAGGGTTAGTTATACAGACCTTTTGTGAACTCTAATTCTTTTGCGCTACCGCTCACAGGATGAGTATGGGGTGCACAATAAACTAGCCGCTTCAAGTGTTAAAAAAAAAAATTGCCCAGCCAAGCTATACTTTACCATCCTATATTCTGCTATACCTTGCTATAGTGTGCTAAATATATGAATACTTTCGCTCTACCATGTTGAACTCTCTTGTTATATGAGAAAGAAAGAGAGAAACTTGTAATCTGCTACAGGGTGTCTTGTTAAGGAGAGAGAGAGAGAGAGAGAGAGTCAAATTATCAGTAAACTCCATTAAACTCAGTGTGTGTACAAACGTCACACACTGACCCAGCCCGTTTACTCTGGTTAGCACTATCTTCCCCCTTGACTCAGGGTCCTCTCCACCTCTCTCACTGGGGTTAATTAATGTCACGGTAGAGGCCAGAAAAAACTCCTGGGTGGCTAATTGCAGATGGCTAGGTGCTGGGGGCTAGGTGTAGGTGGTCTTGGTGTAGGTGACTAGGTGCAGTGGGTAGGTAGTGGTGGCTAGGTGTTGGTGGGTAGGTGCAAGTGAGTAGCTTTAGGTGACTAGATGGTGGGGCTAGATGTTAGTGGCCAGGCGCAGGTGGGTAGCTTTAGGTGGCTAGGTGTCGGTGGCTAGATGCAGGTAGGTGGGTAGGTAGTGGTGGCTAGGTGTTGGTGGGTAGGTGCAGGTGACCTAAGAGATAATAACTCAGGTCAATTGTTGGCTTAGTTACTCATGACGGTGATTAATATTAAGTTAGACCTTAACACCTCCTCGTTTATTGACTTAAAACTTAATAATAGTGTTTGACGTCAAGTTTGAATAGGTGTAGTCCCCGTGTGGTGAGTGGGGGGGCGGGGGGGGGGAACTGTGTGTTTGTGTGTCTGCTGTCAAAAAAACATTCCCTAAACAGGTCTGAGGGTCATCAACTGGTTAATTAATAGATGAAAATAACATAACTACGATACTTAAGTCAGGAATATATAACCTGACTTTCTCTTCCCTACCCTACCCTAACCTAACCTAACCTAACCTAACTTACTACTGTGTTCTTAATATAAGACTGTCTTCTCTAACAGTTAGTAACTGACTGTAATCTATCACTGTCTACGCTAATTCTGCCTAACATAATTATCTGTCTGAGCCTAACAAAACATTCGTTTACTTTATCTCACCTGGACGAGCCCAAACTAACCTAACCTATTCGAACATTAGGATTTTGTTAAATGACAATTTATTTGGTAGTGTTAACCCCAGTTTGATTTTCCCCCTTACTGAAGCGGGTAACTTGAAGGTAGTGTCTCGGCAGCTGCCTGGTACACCCTGTATTATCAAGACTGTTATTGTATTCACACACACACACACACACACACTCTACATAGATCACGAACACTAAGAGACGTGTATTGTCTCTTTTTT